CTTGTGGCGCTGTGTGTCGTTCTCAACAGACGTGAAGAATGGATTAAGAAAATAAACGTATCTTGCAAGGTCTGTACAATCTTATTAGAAACAACCGTTATAAATTAAATAAAAATTATAATGTAACTGTGTATTAAATAAACACCTGTTAAAACATTTCGTTTATATTTTTAACTAAAACGTGTTTGGATAAAATTAGCAGAGATAGTTTTGAAGTCAAATTGATCTAGATGTTAATGTCCTTGGTACAGGGGAACAAGGGAGTTAGAATGTGTCTAAGGTTAACATAATATCTACCTAATGACGAAAATTATAACCCTTACATATGCCATGAATCCAAACCCGGACACCCAACCCTCAGCCAGTAACTTTATTGGCTGAGTAATTGTGGCTAATTGATAAATTAAAATATATTCATGACGTAATTTGTTATTAAAATACGTAGCAAAGTGTTTATTTTGTTGCTGAGTTGTGTCCGTGAGTTTTATAAAGGACCTAATTTAATTTTATCTTTTAAGCCGTGTAAAGACGGTAGTTTAAAGGATGCAACAGAAGGGTGTGTCTTTTTACATACCTCGAAGCCTGATAAAGAGGTTGGATATTCTTGTATTAGCGAAACTAAACGATTTAGAGTAACTGTTTCGTGTTTAATACTTTAACGTTGATGGATGTTGTAAATGGCAGAGTTAGAATGTTACATAACCTATAACTTTGTCTTTCGTGCACAGTAACGCAATAGAATTTTTGTGGTTGTGATAAAATGAGGTTAGGATTTACGTATCTCGTAGATGGAGAAGGGTTGATTACAGAATTTTTGTTGACAAACTTATTGCAAAGTTTTAAGTTGTGATATGGTGATTATAGGGTGATATTAAGGTGATTCTTAAGGAAATATTTCATGTAAGTGAGATGTGAATTTTAACTCGTTCAGTGTCGTGTCAAATGGCGGAATTTTGATGTTAATTAGGATCGATAGGTGTATCGATAATGATGATTTAATCCTCGAAGTTAAAAGAAATCGTCTCGATCAGTGTTTCTATAGATTGTATGACGTAGAAATGTGTCACTGTATACATTCTGTTACTCTTATTGTCGTACTTAATATTTGGTAAACATTTTAACTCTTATCTGTGTTACAAAATTTATATGTTTATTTTAATTTATACTTCAATAACAGGGCGGGACGTTACGTATTACGTTGGGGCAATTTGAATGTACAGTCAAATGGCGGATTTTTATGAACATAATTAATGTAACTACATTTCAATATACTAAATAATAAACTCTTTGGCCGGCTGTGTAAAGAATAACATTTTTGTGTGTGAATTTTGAAATGTTGTCATCCAAAATCATGTGTTCAGTATTTTAAATTCTTGTTACTGTAGAATTTTGAAGAAGGCGAAGTTGTACAAAGGATTATTACGTATTATAAGATCTTCATTGTACCAACTTGGATATGTTATAACTAACCAAAATTATATTTGGACAGAAGAATAAAATTTCGTCAACTTCTTAAAAGTTTAAACACTATAGACTGAGCTCATTGTAGTATTTGATTGTCAGATAATCATCTTCAGCTACTTGAACTTTTTAGGTTATATTCAGTCAAGACGTAAGAACAAATAAAAAAATGATTAACGTATTGCGCGTTATGTAACTTAGGAAATATTGACAAACGCACGTCAAAGTTTTTGTATGTTTATATTCGTACCTAATTCCTACGTAATATGTATTTAATGTTCCTTTTTTGGAAGGTAATTTTCCATACCATAAGCAGCGGCATACGAGTACATATTTGAATATTTTAATGCTATATGAAGGAAAATTAATGCCCATTAACTTCTTAAACGAACTCGTTTTAAACTTTCAGATTAACAGGTGTACATGAATTTATTTTTCGTTGTACTTTGAGACGTAGGAGGAAATTTAAATTTGGGGCATAAGAGAGACTTATCCGACATCTTGTAACATGTAATTTTGCACTACATACCTTGTACAGTTAACACAACATCGATAAATAATCGAATAACGAACGATTTATCGATATATTCTACTCCGGCAAGTTTCTGGTGGGAAACACATTGACGTAAGTGTTAATTTTGATTTTTTTTCCATTAACAGTGAGAACATAATGGATTAAATAAATAAATAAAAACCTTGGGGTATGTATTTAAGTCTAAAGTCTATCTGTTTTAATTATCGTGTTTTATTTAGGGAATGTACGTAAAAGTTTAAATTCAGTCTCACCGATGTTGTAACACTAAGGCGCTTGAATCTATATAAACATTGAAACTCAGTTGCTGGTGTAGTTGTGTTAAAACAGACTATCCTTTTGTCTGTTATTGACAGAACTCTATTAAGCGCTGATTAGAGGTTACAAACTTATTTCGAGGGGTATACAAGAACACTTTCACGATATTTTTTTTGTACTAGGCATCTGAACGTGTTCCCAGAACTACCAAATTCTGAATAAAGCTTTAGATTTTACTCTTCTGTTCTCAGAAACGATGCTTTGACGACCGAGTAATGAAAGAATAAATTAAAGACAACTGAGGCCGGAACGTGTTTAAAATTACCTCATTCGTTTAGTATTTATTCTCGAATGTTTTAATTCCCCAAATCTATGCTAACTGCAATGATATAATGAAATTATAGGTTGTTAACTACTTGTTCGGACTGTATCTTTCTCAAATCTTATCACCTTTAGTCACCTAAGTCGATAAACGGATACATTTTTTTTTCAGATAAGTTTGAAACAATATAAAATGTCTTATAATTTGTAATTGCAACGATGATTCTAAACAATTTGAATTATAATTAATTTCTTATATTAACAATTAGTGTGAGTTTAATTTAATGGAAAATGATAACGAATATTTACTCGCATGGGGACTTTGAAATGTCTCATAATATTCGCATCGGACAGTTCACCGTGGGTTTCTAAAACTTTTTTAACGTCGAGGACCAATAATTGGCAGCCCTGCTTCGTGTTCGGGAGGTCCAGCTCTCAAGTTCCGGTCTTAAGACTGGGTTTCTGAGATTTTTTTTTTTTTGGGGGGGGGGGGGGGGTTCTTCAGTTCCTCTAGGAAAATGCCTGGAGTTATAATATGCCACGACAGTTGGCTTCAGGATCAGTTATAGTTCAATATCGATTAATCATTACATTATCCAATGCAAAATGGTTTGTTCTGCTGACATCGACGTTGAAAAATACAAAGGAAATAAAGTTTTCGGAATTAATTTTATATCAAAATGCATTTAAATGTGAGTTCCTGCACTTTAATAGGGCAAAGGTGTATATGTACGTAGTATTTGTGGTTATGTATAGTTTCGTACCAACCTTACGTGGGGCGAAATTATGTGGTGTGTCGTCATGTGTCTTTGAAAGGTTGTGACGCCGGTGAAAAAATAATTTGGGGGCCCCTGGAATAACCGTTGTTAGCAAACATCTGATTACTTTCTGTATAAGGTACAATCTGTATCGCTGTCAGAGGACGCGTGACCTTGAGTGCGCAGAAGTAAAAAATGTCGCTTACGCGCACGTTGCAGCCTGTGTACATAAACGGAATCCCTCGTACAGACTTACAGCGAGTGACCTATAGGATGACCTTACGAGTTTAATATGGACTGTACCTCGTTAGGCTACTTTTTTCAGAAACAATTAACTACTTCATAATAACAAAAGACAATCTGAAATTTGTGTGTATCTACAAACATGCAACCCACATTATCTGTGATTAACCCTTTTTTATGTTCTGGCTATATTCAGTAACTGCATTATGCCCACCACAGAGACTATTTATGAATTTAATTTGACTTTTACAAAATAATTATTATTTCCGTGAACAACATTAAACATATGCTCTCTGTAATGGAAACGCGTTGTGTTATATTTGACGTAGAAACTTAGTGAGATGACTGTGTTATGGGTTGTTGTAGTCTGGTAGAAGTTTACCGACGTTTCGGAAGTCCTTGTTGTCTCCGTCATAAGTGCCATCTTCAAATTCACCGCCGTGAAAAACTTAGTGTTTAAATATGATTTTTATGAATATCAGTTTCAAAATTTTGCAGAATTTACCAGAAGAACGAACAAGTAAAACCTAGGAAAGTTTTCGAAAGAAAGTAATACTTTTTCTGCCCTTCAGAAAGTGTCTTACTTCTCCCCTCAAAACTTTTTTCCTATTTATATTTTTCCTTAAGAGATATTTCAGCTGTCTCACTGTACGATATTCTCTACACATTGGGAAAAGAGTTTGAATTTATTTATTTATAGTTTATTTAACGACGTTTTTCAGTAGCTTGTGCTACATATCGTTGAATGAGAGGATGCCAGTGAATAATAAATTGGATAGAACGTGAAGGAAGCTGCCGTGGCCTAATTTAAGGTACAACCACGCATTTGTCTGGAGGGACTGAGGACAACCATGAAAGTCCCAGTCAGGATAGTCTGTTTCCGGGCCGAGATTTGAACCCGAGGTCGCTAATTTGTATTAGGTTATGTAAGTTTAAATATTTATATGCTTGTTTGTGCAATGCTGGATAATTGGTTGCTAGCTCTTGAAATGATCTCACAACCGTAGCTTTCACGTGTTCACTACACAGAAAAAAAATATACAGCGTTTTAGATTATCCAAGTTCCATAGTGGAATTTATGTACACGTACAATTGGCTTTGTAATTCCAATCGTACTTTAATTTTATTGTATTTATCCGTTTTTGTCTTTCTTCTCTCTTCCATTAACTACAATTATTTGTACCAGACATGTGTTAAGTAAAGACGTCATTATGTTTGTCTAATTTGAAGAAAAACATGAAATATTAGTTAATGGAATTTCCGAGATATAAGAGTAGGTCTCGTGGCAGGACGAATGTGAAGATTACTTCACAGTCTATATCTGCCTGCAGGTAAGTTGCTAGCTAGTATAGGAACTCGATTTTTGTTACACCTAACCTAACATTTATTTAATTTTATTACACGTGACCTCGGCCATCTTGTTTCAGTTTGAGGTACATGGGGGGCCTCAGTGGTGTTAATGGCCGACAGAGACATGGGGAGACCCAGATTCAAGAATCCCTACGACCCCCAGAAGGAGGTTGGGGGTGGATGGTCGCTTTTGGAATGGCGCTCATGTTTGTAAGTGTTCATAAAATGTGAATTTCTCGCTGCGATTATCGATTACTGTCGTAGTTAGCACGTCTCGACTGCTTTTATCCCCGAGTAAACAAACCGTGTACCTACTGGAAGTCTATGAATCTCAGACGTTAAATTTTTTTACGAAAAACATCACCACACGTTGACTATCTGTGTTAAACCTCCATAAAACTATCCCTTTTTTAATTTATAACCTTACTCTTCATTAAATGTTGTTAGAATGATTAAATAAAGGATTATTATCATGTACAATATAATTTATTACGTAACGAAATTTATCTTTTTAACTCTAAGGTTTCTTCTGATGTAATGGTGCAACACATGTTAAAATATGTCATCTAGGTGATTCTTAAATCATAACGTTTCATACTTTTTCTGCCCTTCAGAAAGTGTCTTACTTCTCCCCTCAAAACTTTTTTCCTATTTATATTTTTCCTTAAGAGATATTTCAGCTGTCTCACTGTACGATATTCTCTACACATTGGGAAAAGAGTTTGAATTTATTTATTTATAGTTTATTTAACGACGTTTTTCAGTAGCTTGTGCTACATATCGTTGAATGAGAGGATGCCAGTGAATAATAAATTGGATAGAACGTGAAGGAAGCTGCCGTGGCCTAATTTAAGGTACAACCACGCATTTGTCTGGAGGGACTGAGGACAACCATGAAAGTCCCAGTCAGGATAGTCTGTTTCCGGGCCGAGATTTGAACCCGAGGTCGCTAATTTGTATTAGGTTATGTAAGTTTAAATATTTATATGCTTGTTTGTGCAATGCTGGATAATTGGTTGCTAGCTCTTGAAATGATCTCACAACCGTAGCTTTCACGTGTTCACTACACAGAAAAAAAATATACAGCGTTTTAGATTATCCAAGTTCCATAGTGGAATTTATGTACACGTACAATTGGCTTTGTAATTCCAATCGTACTTTAATTTTATTGTATTTATCCGTTTTTGTCTTTCTTCTCTCTTCCATTAACTACAATTATTTGTACCAGACATGTGTTAAGTAAAGACGTCATTATGTTTGTCTAATTTGAAGAAAAACATGAAATATTAGTTAATGGAATTTCCGAGATATAAGAGTAGGTCTCGTGGCAGGACGAATGTGAAGATTACTTCACAGTCTATATCTGCCTGCAGGTAAGTTGCTAGCTAGTATAGGAACTCGATTTTTGTTACACCTAACCTAACATTTATTTAATTTTATTACACGTGACCTCGGCCATCTTGTTTCAGTTTGAGGTACATGGGGGGCCTCAGTGGTGTTAATGGCCGACAGAGACATGGGGAGACCCAGATTCAAGAATCCCTACGACCCCCAGAAGGAGGTTGGGGGTGGATGGTCGCTTTTGGAATGGCGCTCATGTTTGTAAGTGTTCATAAAATGTGAATTTCTCGCTGCGATTATCGATTACTGTCGTAGTTAGCACGTCTCGACTGCTTTTATCCCCGAGTAAACAAACCGTGTACCTACTGGAAGTCTATGAATCTCAGACGTTAAATTTTTTTACGAAAAACATCACCACACGTTGACTATCTGTGTTAAACCTCCATAAAACTATCCCTTTTTTAATTTATAACCTTACTCTTCATTAAATGTTGTTAGAATGATTAAATAAAGGATTATTATCATGTACAATATAATTTATTACGTAACGAAATTTATCTTTTTAACTCTAAGGTTTCTTCTGATGTAATGGTGCAACACATGTTAAAATATGTCATCTAGGTGATTCTTAAATCATAACGTTTCGGAAGTTGGCTCTACTTCCATCTTCAGGTGAAATGAGGGCAAATACTAATCTGTTGGGCCTCCACGTCGAGTTAGTGTCAAATTTTTCACCTGAAGATAGATGTAAAACCAACTTCCGAAACTTCTAAATAATAGATAAAATCAAAAATAATTTAACACAAAATGTCACTTTGTATATAAACTTTTAATATGGTTGATGTGGTTAGATTTCAACTTCCGGTCACTATTTATCCTTCGTCCCACTCTTCAGTGGCATCTTGGATCAACTTGGGGAACAAACGACAGGTGCCGCGGTCATCATGACTGCCCTCACGGCGTCTGTCAATTTTACAGGTGAATAAATACGTAATTATTTAAGATCAGGTGTCAAAAACATGGAATAAAAATTAATTATACGAGTGTTCTACAGGAAACACAACTAATCACTTGTGTAATTATGAAGGTCTAATATTATGCATTCTGTTACGTGTTCCGACATTAAAATGTAATTTGCTGTTTGTAAAATTTTATGACGCAAAAAATGTTTTAATAGTTCTTGTAAGTAACACGTTTCACAAAGCAGAATTAATTTTGGGACACGGAAGAAATTTCCTGTCGTTTATGGAACGGAGTGGTTTATCTTGTTCACAAGTTTACCAACTGTCACATTCGTAGGTCTGGTGACGAATCAGTTGTTGAAGAGCGTGTCGTATCGTGTGGTGGCAGTACTGGGTGGAGTAATCTTTGCCGTGGGTATGTTGCTGACGATCTTTGCACACAGTATGGTGCATATTGTTATCACATACAGTATCATCGCCGGTGAGTCCAGAAAATTATTTATGGTATTTACATAATGTTTTATAAAGTGTAATATCTGCTATGTATTTTGTACTGTAAGCTGATTTTAAGTAAATGAATAACCTTGAGATTAATGAGGTGTATTGTTTAAATGATAACAAAAATTAAATTCGCCCGGCGACTTTAAGAATCGATTCTAGTATTGTATTTCACTGTTGTCTGTTTTTAAATTAAATATTATCAGATACCGCGTCGACATTACATTAATTATTTTTTCTGCGAAGGAGGTATAAGGTGTAAATTGAAGTCTATAAAACCTCTGTTGCCGAAATTAATTCGGAAAAACCTATGTCTTCTAGCAGAAGATCACTGTGACATGAACGAGTTGAACTTTTTCTCGCAAGTTTAGTGCCGAGTCAATTTACCAATGCACGTAAACAAACAATTAAGTGTGAAAAATAATCAAGTTATGTACCTATTTCTGGAGTTCTTCTGCTCGAAATGATGATATTGAGTAAAACAAATAACAATAATTCAATTCATTGCTTAACAACAGCCAGATAAGTCCAATAACATGCAAGCACTGAACAACAGTACAGGATAAAATATAATATAATAATTCAATTCATTTTAATAATTATAAAATTAAAACATTACAAATACAAAAAACAAACAAACAAATGAAACTGAATATATAAATTAATTATTAATATATATAATATAATATATTATTAATAATAATTCAATTCACTTATTGCATAATTATTCACAGTAAATTATATAAATAAATTGCCTAAGTAATATAATAATTAAATTAAAATCAGTTCAGTTATAAGCATTCAAAATAAAATATTAATACTAAATAAAAACCAGGAAAAACTTACAAAATGAAAAATCCAAAATATGGACAATAATATTTCAATTAAATTTATTTATTTATAATAATAATAATTATTGGTAAATTATAATGTGGTTTACAGGCATTGGGATGGGTCTAGTGGCACCTTCTTCATATTTAGCCATCAACTCATACTTCGTCTCAAGACGTGGAATTGCAATGGGTTTCTGCCAAGCTGGGATTGGCCTTGGCTTTATCACCATGCCCTATTTGGTGGAGATGCTTCTACATAATTACGGCTTCAGGGGTACTATGCTACTGTTAGGCGGCATCGCCCTTAACTCGGTCGTGGGGGCTCTACTGTACCATCCGATAGAATGGCATATGGTGCGATTAAGACTCCATAAGATGATGGCGAAAGAAGATGAAGATGGTAAATGTTGTTCTTTTACTAAACCCTAAGATAAATAATTATAATATAGCCAATTTATTATTGGCGTCATTTCCACTTCTTTACGTGATCTGTCTGTGAGAGCGCGAAGGAGGCGCAACATCAAATAAATGAAGAATTTAGAATTTATTATTTCACTTTTTACCAATCGATCAAACTTTGCACATTTTTCTACTCGTTAACTTTTTCAAAGTGTGTCAGTATGAGAATTATAATTGTGGATGTATATCTTGGATCAAGTCGGCATTTGAAATTTTTATTGTAATAATTCTTGTTGATCTAATCTAAGTATTTAATAATTCAGTTCATACCCCCCCAAAAAATAAATTATTTCTTTATTATGAAGATCAATTAGGTAATGATTTTCAGGGAAGTAATTGTATTTTATTATGAGAATCATGCGAAGAATCTGTGGGTCAAAATGACAAATTAATTAATTTTAATATGTACGAATTTTGTAATCGTAATATTACATTACTATCGCTGGTGTGGCGTCTGTAAAATATGCTGATAAAAATTAACAGAATTTTCGGTTTTTGGTTTAAGCCAATTAGGATCACCTTGATTTTTAGGCTGGGGTCTTCGGCCTACGTGAATTCCGCCTTAATTTTTGGCCTGCGCGTAAAGAATGATACTCTGCGATTTTCTGTTAAGTTGACACCATTTTTCCAACGCATTCTTTTAATTATGACAGCGTTGGATGATGTGATCTTGGATTCAAGACATATCTCAATGACTGGAGCCACAACGTTGTCTATGGACGTGATACCCGATGAGGAAGATGATCTGACGACGGTGCCACCTGCCGATAAAAAGTTGCCGAACAATTCAAATGGCATGGTGAGTTGGGAAATGTCGCTTAAAAAAGTAAAAATAATTTTCTTTTGGAACATATTCAATAAACATGGCTCATTGTTTTTTTAATAGCTTTGTGGTATTCATTTTATGAAATTTTAATTAATTTCTAAACAGATATTTTAACTAATCTAAATTTTGTTGTTCCAATTAGTCTGGTAGAAGTTTACGGATGTTTGACGCCACGACACAGGAGGCAGTCATCTTCATATGATATTTAAGCTTTTGAAGTAGACATGTATTTATATTAGGCGGTGATACGTTTGGTTTATGCCGGCTTTTAGCTGGTATCCGACGACACGGACTGCGACGACCATGTGATTATCTCACGAAGAGGCAGCATCATCATATCATCGATGTTAGACGGACGTTCCCACCAACTTCTGCTTCCAGTACGAGAAGAAGATACAGGAAATGAGAGGCAAGATATTGCTCAGTCTGAGAAGCAGTCGCAGGGTCGCGGCGACGGTTCGACCGCGCTAAAACGGCCATCGGTATCCCTGGCCAACTATGGCAGTAATGTACTCATGTTTGACAATACCATTGTGGACACCTCGCCAAAAAAGGCTATTGCAGATCACATTGTCAAAGCATTGCACAAGGTAAAGTAAAACAAGTTAGGAGTTGTACTTTGAAAAATATTTTTAACTTTGGACAGGTCGTGACGTTCATTAGGATAGCTGGTCTCTGGGTTGATATTTGAACCCTAGACCTCCCAAAAATGAATCAAGAGTGTTAAATAGTATGCTGTGAAGATCTTCTTCTTCTATGGCTCTCTGGTCCATATTCGGTCCTTGGCCTCCTCAATTCTCCTCTTCCGTTCGGTCCTATCCTCCGCTCAGTTAAATGTTATATTGATATGCATTAAAATATTTAAAGATGCTCTTATACGATAGAATTTATTAATGCTATGTGCCGTATACGCTGAAGGAGCTTGTTGTGTCCTGTACGAAGACGATATCGGTGCATTTTGCTGGCGAGATTTAGTAAAACACCAAAGATCTCAGTCACGAGATGGTAATCAGATACGTCTCACCATCTAATTAAATCTAACCTTTCTTTAAATGACTAAATCTCTCTCGGTTATTAATCTCATTAATGTTATGGAACACAAATCTGCATTTTAATTTCCTTGCATCCGTCAGGTGTCCGACAAATTCACCGGCTCAAATCAGGAGCAAACTTGGAAATTGCTGCGGCACGTTCCCGACGAGACAGAGGAAGGAGAATACGCCACCTTCGGCCAGCCTTCCACGTCTTCTGCTCCGTCGTCTCCTGCGGTCAGATCTCGCAAGTCCTCGTGCTGCGACTGCTTAGTGATGTCGCTGAATGAATCTCTGGACTTGGCGCTGCTCAAGGACCCGGTTTATGTGAACATTGTTCTGGGTCTTTCGGTGTCCTTTGCTAGTGATACCAGTTTCTTCACCGTCTTTCCGTTTTACCTGGCACAGACGCCGTGGCCAGGTTTCTCTGATAAAGAGGTGGCGCTCTGTCTGTCTATAACTGCTGGTGCTGACACTGTCGCGAGACTTCTGTTACCGATACTGGCCGAGAGGTTCAGAGTTGGCCCACGAGCCGCGTATCTCTTCGGATGCTTCTCGTCTGCCATCGTGAGGTCAAGTAAGTAAAATTCACAGGGTTAAAATGTGATAAAAGTTATTATATTTCTAACACTCTTATTTTCGTAACAAGTTATACATCGTCGACAGAATGCGGGGCAGAGTCGTAACAGATGATGGATCCTTTCGAAAATGTTACAACGCTCAGATATTTGGGAATGATAGTAATAAATCAAAATTTGATTTATGAGGAAATTAAGAGCAGACTTTGGAACAGTAGTTGTAGATATGTTAGTTAGTTAGTTAGTTAATTCCTTTTATTCCTCTTGGGAACATAGGGCCGATATAAAGCTCCTCCACCTCACTCGGTTGTTGGCAAGTGCCTTTGTTTCCTTCCAACTTTTCCCCTGTGATCTCGCTTCCTTTTCAATAGATCTCTGCCATGTAATCCTCCGTCTTCCTCCTTGGGGGTTCCAGTCCAATACTTGCTTTGAAATCTCTCGTCCTCTTTCCTAAGTGTGCGTCCCAGCCACTTCCATTTCCTTTCCTTGATCTCTTGTTGTATTTTCGTTTGAGGGGTAATTATCCACAATTTTTCATTTGAAATATTTTCTTCAAATCTAATTTTTAGAAGAAACCTTAGACATCTGTTGATCTTCTTCTTCTTCTACTATGGTTTTCCGGTCCGTATTCAGTCCTTGGCCTCCTCAATTCTCCTCTTCCATTCGGTCCTCTGTTAGGTCCGTCTGTCCGAGGCTTTTGATCGAGGTTTCGAAACATCTTCCTTTTTATGGCGCAAGGTTGTTAGCCTTGCGACCAACCCCCAACCTGGAGGACCAGGGTACCTGTCTTAGTCTGACCTCTCCCCCTCGACCAATCTGGCTACGGAGGCCCTACCAGTAGCTCTTGGGGTCACTGAGGTACTCGAGACATCTGTTGATATAGCTTTGTAATTTTTGCGTTAGTTCTTTAGTGACTTTCCAGGTTTCAGCCATATATTAGGTGTAGATATGAGAGTAGGATTAATTTGCATATTGCAGAACTAGAATATAAGTTATGAAATAAATAAATTTAGATGGTTCAGGACAGAATACATTGTAATTCTTGCGAACGTAGTGTAAGACCTCAGATCCTGTTAAACGCAGGGCGCTCCTTGACTAGGTGAACGATTATCAATATCTGAAGGACTCTTGTCTGAAAAAATTATTGTATTAATATGAATCTGTTAATATTGTATTTACCTTATAATATTGTTAAATTGTTACTATCGCACCGCTGATTTAACTAGGAAAGTTGGTAACCGGTGCATGTAATGCTGGGGGGACATTTCATCTCCTTCCAAATCTTTATCTACACATCATTTTTATTGATCTCGCTGCCTCATCTGATGCTGTATGACTTCTGAAAATTAGTCAGTGTAGAATATCGTAGGATATAAGTACACCTGCTACTTGATGATTTAATGTTTTTAAATGCCATATCAGGTTCAGTCGACAAGCAAAATATCTGTGAGCCTGGGCTACATCATAGTAGGAGTGGCAGATGGAAAGGGCAGAGGCGGAGCAAGATGCCTTGTGTGTTATCGGTTCCCTCCCCTTCCCTTATTTTCGCTGTGACGGTCAGTGTGTCTACTTGTAATGGTCGGAGACGGTCGCAGATTTGTTGTTATCAGATAAGGGAACACTTACTGACACTTAATTCTGTCTGTTGTTAGTATTCGCCAGTGTACAGGGATTTGTGACGATTGCTGTCATGTCCGGCGTTGTGGGCTTTCTGAAAGGGGCTCTAGTTGTCAATCAATCGCTCGTTATTGCCGAGCACTGCCCTCTGGGTCGCTTCGCGGCAGCGTACAGCCTCTTCATGGTCATCAATGGTGTGATTACATTGTGTCTTGGACCTCTAGTTGGTAAGCCCTGTTGCATTTCATAGAGTTATTAAGTTGGTAAGTTTTGTGGGATTTGATACAATAGTGTAGTTAATGTTTACTGGACAACCTAACCTAACTCTTATTAAAATTCGTAAAATAGTTTACTTGGCAAATTCTGCTGGACTTAATATAATAATAATAAGATTTTAGTCACTTCTTTATGGGAAGATTAATAAACCGTGCTTTCGAAGATGGGCTAACAAAATAAACTTTTGAAATTTGAAGTTTTCAAAGTGATGAAAATTTGAAGTTTTCAAAGTGATGAAAATTTGGATTGTGGTTTCGTGGGGTAAAGCCGCTTACAAGACTACACGGCATCCTAAATCAGAAGACTGCAATGCAGTGAAAATTTATCTATCAACCCCACTAATTTAATAAACACTTTTATGTTTAAAAAGTAGAGAACTTAGTGATCTCAAGCTTTTATTCAGAGAGTTTGTGAGATTAGTCTGTATATTTATTTTCTCATGGACTAAAGCCTTAAAAGTTTAGGAATTTGAAGAACACATGGACCCCATCGTGGCCCACATTCCACAACTGTAGATTCCCCTCTATCGACCATCTTTCTTATTATTCCGAGTAATAAAATTATACCCTATCGGATCTCGCACCTCAGAAATGGATTCCACATCTAGACGAAAAGATGCTGGGAATAATTAAATATAAACAGTTATCTTAGAAAAATATACATCTTTCCTGATTAAAGTTAGAAATATATAATAATTAAGAATGTTATCAAATAAAAAGGATACTAAGATGATAATTAATTGATTAATCTGAATGATGATAGTCTGAAATGGAGACTTTCGTATCACGATCCAGCTAGCCAGTCAAAGAAGAAAACAGAGTAATTAAAAATACTTTCTGAATACAGCGTCCTTTTTGTTACAAACATTATTTTATTCACGTAAATAAATCAGTTATCGATGCCTTTTAATGATTTTTCTCGCTCTATTTTTCAGGTGTGATTAGAGATAGGACAAATAGTTTTCCCTTCAGTATCCACATACTTTCTGCCTTTTTGTTACTGTGTGTGTTTATGTGGGTGCTCGAGTATATCTGGGTGTCATGCAGGACACGCACGCTGAGATCTGTGGCTCACACCCTGAAGACGCAGCTCTGGTAACACACAGTAACGCACAGAGATATCCTCCGTACTTCTTTCAAAGTTTTAGCGGCAGTAATATAATACAGTGGTATCATTTTGAATTAAAGGATACGTGACTGACGAGCCCCCTTATTACATATACCCAGGCAGCTGCCCCACTATTCCATCTCTGGCTTATAACATTGTGGGTTATTTGTGTCATCAACTCGGTGCTGTCGGCAGTACTACGTCTGATACGTGATTTGTTTTATGAATGTACCGGGTTAGAAACTCAGTAAATGTGACATCCAAAATGATTTTCTTCACTTGCCTCATGGTATTATTTGAATAGTGTGACATTTTTTTGATTTCGTGTAACTTCTGCAGGTGAAATACCATTATTAAATAACCATATAATAAGTCCGAAGATTTTGGTTGCTGCTGGTTAAGGTAGGATCAGTAATAAACTGGAGGAGAAAGTAGGGAATAAGGTTTGTAGTACGACCACTTACGCTAATTTAATTTTTATCATATTTTGTATCGAGTCTGAGAAAAATATCAAAACTTTCATTAAAAAAACAACAGGTGTCCACCTTTTCTTTTCCTTAGCACCAACAATTAACCCCAAAATAATACATGAGCATGCAATTTTGGTACTCATTTTTGACCTCAGTTAACCAAAGAAATATTAGAGAATCATTTTTGTTCAGCATTTATTGATGCATGTAGAGGTTACAGAATTGCATATTTCGTTGAGCAATATTTATTGTGTAATTGATAATTGTACTGGTAGGGGACCCTTTGGATACTTTGCAGTTACACTTGAAACTTTGGATGAATCATTATTAAACGTCCTGTATATTTTAAATAATTATTTGAGAATATTTCCAAATGTATGTACTGAAGAAGACGTCGGCAATCGTAATTTTGGACGAAAAATAAATTGTATTTAGGGACTATTTTTGTTTGTTCCACAATATTTTAGTTTACGTACATACCTCCTAAGAGAGAGGATAGGTCGAATACAACAAAAGCATTACCCCCCTACAATGATTCGCCCAGACGTTGTTCAGTATAACGTCTGTTTATTAAAAAAATACTAACGAGTAAAGAACAGTATTTTTATCCTTTGTCAATAAATACTGTGTGAGTTTAATTTGTACTTTGCGTGTCTGTAAATAAGTGTTTTAAAACATGCGCTCAAAGTGGGGAAGCACGGCACTTAGTGGAAGGGCCGCGTGCTATTCATCTGGTGCCACTACCGTTAGTAACTTAATTTGCTGCCAGGTTCGCTAGGATATGATTGCAGCGCAAGGGAGCACGTGGACTAGGATATATCGAAGACAGCAGCGACTTCACAGTGAGTTACTTGCATTACATTCGTTTGCAGATACTTTTTTCTCTTTCTTATTACTGTTGAAAATATTCGTGCAGGCATGGAGATTCATGTCTTCACAATCAGTAGTAGTTACATTATTAGCATCTTGGTGTAGGTGAGTAGGTTTGACTGTTTACTTTATATTTAAAACTTTGTTGATTGAAGAATAATGTTGTTCGACCATAACCTGAATCAAACGCATGGATGATAACACCGGACTCATTTTGTTGCAACTAATTACAGTAAAATAAGGTAAGCGCACAGTTAAGAGTGTCAAATATTCTCTGCCCATTATTGCCAGTTTATAACATACATTTATTTCCATTTCACGCTCGTGTAGGCTAACCCTTATGCTTTGTAACCGAGACGTCTCGTGTTCGAATCTCGAAATAACTTATTCTAAAGGGCCACTGTATGACCTATTGTTTACGTACGTAATATTATGAAGAATGTTAAATGTCTGTTTACGAATTAGTATGAGTACAATTTTTACTATCCACGAATTTTATTTTAACTTGATACCTTCAGGCTATAGTGCATTATACGTTCTTGTTTCATTTTTTATTCGGACTACAAACGTCTCTCTTCGCTTGTAGTTTATAATTTCCTGGTAGTTTGTGGATGATACAATTAGCTATAAGCTCCATATATACATTCATTTGACTGTGTACCACCAAACAATTATATCGGGTGGCGTGTGTGAAGATGACTGTCTTCCAGGTTGTCCCGCCGCGTAGTCTGGTAGAAGTTAACAGATGTGCCTTCTGCCTCCATTATCAGGGCTGTGATCTCCGTTTTGTCAGGTGGAAATTTAGCTACGTTTTAGAGATGCTTACAACATCCATTATCAGGGCATTTATTGCTAACGACGTTTCAGAGGTGATTACTTCCTCAGGGTGATGATCGCCGCCGACGTTTCAGAGTTGCTTACTGGTGGATGACGGACGTAATAAGTAATTCTGTAGCCTCGTTATACTTGCAGACTACACCGCGCAACATCCCAGGAGACAGTCATCTTCAGTTATTTTATGACTTGATTTAAATATTTATTGCTTTTTTGAATATCCAGTTTTTTGTTCTATACGTTCAGCCGTCATTAATGAACACCGTGTGGAGTGTGCAGGGTCTGTATGTCTCGGGTTTTCCCAAGGAACTAGGCAATCTCCGTTACCCAAGGTCGTTTCTGGAACACATTGCTATTGAACAATGGGAATTATCAGTGTTGTAGCACATAGTTGCAGCAGTGAGCGAATGGAGATAATAATTGGAACATTTAATATTGTTGAAGCTTGGCATTAAATTTATTTTATGGAATAATTTTTCCGTACCTTAAAGCTCCAGAAAGCAACCTTAGATCTAAAAGTGAAATTACTCCAAATTTACAAAATAAATAGCCCTAGTTGGTTTTAATAGCAGACTGTTTGTATATTTACTCAGTAGTGTGCTTAGCGTGTGTCCTTTGTTTTTATTGCGCGCAGTTAATACTTTATGTCATTTGTTTACGAAAGCCCTGAGCCTAAGAGGAAGTTATGAAACACAGTTCAAAAAGTAAAACACCTTTTTTTTTAAATAAGACACTGATAATCTCTTCCCACTTAGTGCTGTTGATTTTATACTCATTTATTGACTGGTCTCGTTAACACAGTTAAGAGTGCGTGTTCTTGAAGATAGGAATAGAATAGGCCAACATAGGTCGAATCTTATAATCAAGTCGGTTTATAAAAGATTTTCTCATAATATAAGAAATGTGTAACGTCACATTCTTTCGTTTTTGTAACATGCTGATAAGTAATGATATTTTAGTGTCTGTTCCTTGCAGGCGGCGAAGTTAAAAGGCTAAAAATTTTGAAGACGTGAATAGAGCCAACTCCCGAAACGTCGGGTCTTAGTGTACCGTTTTCGAAATTAATGAACTGTAACAAAATGTAAACTTTTTATCACTCTGTAAACGTCGATTATTTACTTAACGACGGTAACCAGTTGATCTTCGTAATGGTGAAGAGTTGTGTTTTCTTCGTGGTACGGACTGGATTATTAAATATTATGTTCGCAGTGTGAGCCTCGTTATAAACAGCGATTAGTTTCTTAAACAGCGTTAACAAGTTGATCTTAGTAATGGTGAAAAGTTGTGTTTTTTTTGCGGTACGGACTGGATTATTAAATATTATTTAGACGAGCTGTCGATCAGATTGGCGTAAGAGATTTTTTTATTGATGACTGAAATTAAATATTACGGAATTGTTTATATTAAATTCACGCGATTTGAACTTCTGTTAGGGATTTAATTACAAAACGATCAATACTTCATCCTTAACCAAACCATACTGCTGTCACTAACAAGTTGACCAGTCCTTAATTAAGCACTGTGCCATGCAGACATGTTGCGAAATAGGGGGAACTTTGTTCGTATGTGTACGTATAGTTAATCTCTGCATTAAATTAAGTTGAGTGGTTAGTTTCACGCTCTAACTTTTCTACCCCTCGGATACGTATTGGGTAGTCTCGATGGGCTCCATAGTCTGTCTGGACTTTACTTTGAAATAATATAAACCTGCCTTTCCCGGGAATCGAATACCGGTCATCCAGCTTTTACTGTATTGACTAAGTTATCTTAAACTGCCACGAACATGGTAAATAGAATTAATTAAGATAAATAAAATTCTATGAAGACAGTAGAAAGCTCATCCGAAAATTCGCTCATGGTATTTATAACCAAACAGTTTCAAAATATCGCGTGTCGTTACCGTATATAGTCGTTTAGTCTTATAGCACGGCGGAATAACCCAGAAGACAGAAATCTTTACGTCATCCGGTATCAAATTTGTATCGTCCTGAAATCCTCATCGTATTTTTCCGTTAATATCTTAACGGTCGTTATAATAAAACGGTTAAACACTGATTAACCGTGATGGTCCGTCATCTTCGAATGACATACTTGTGATAAACATAATTTTCCGTAAGTGATTATTATTTTATCGTACTCTGGTTTTTGGATTTTGATCGCATGTGCACAACTGCGTGTTCTAAAAGCCAAGGAATTATGCAGGCAATTATAGTTAAGCCGTTCAGCGTGTTGATGCAGACTGGGTAACTGTTTGTTACGTCACGAACCAAACCTGTAATGAAATAACTTAACATTACCACACAAGGAATTATAATCTAGGTTGTAACGTCACATTTTTTTTTTTGGAGGAATATATGCCTACAAGTCTACACTACATTAACCAAGACACCGACGTCAATGTCCTGGAGGAATTATTTCCATATTCAGGGCAACTATCGACTGACATAAACCTAACCTAATCTTCACTTTTCTGCGTTAAGCTTCTAATAATGAACATTACGGAAGCCAGGACTTTTTTCATACGTCTTGGAGCTTTGCATTAAATTAAATTAGTGAAAATAGTTTCTTGCATTGAATGACCCCTGAAATAAGTTACGTAAAACAAAAAATGTTTCCTGAAGTAAATAAGTACATTTATTTACGAGGTGCGATCGGAAAGTTTAAAGACTGTGTCTATAGTCGGCGAACCGGATGTAGTACGAGATTCTGCCTTTAGGGGGTGCGGCCTACATTCATAGTGAATCAGTGTGCCAGCCGGCATCAATAAATTAGCATTTGTTTCTTAGTTACGGGCGTTTTGGTAGTGCATTACACCGACCCTCCTGCGATTTCGGAATGGCGTGTGCATCAAATTTTGCCAAAGACCTATGAAATGCTAAAGCAAGCATTTGGGGAGTCCGCAATGGGTCGTGCACAAACTTTTGTGTGGCATTCACGTTTTAAAAATGGCCGAACCTCTGGCGATGATGACGAGCGTTCTGGACGACCATCTTCGAGCACAAACACCATGGCCGTCATTCCGCACCCTCCTTATTCGCCGTGTGCCTTCTTCCTCTTCCCAAAGATGAAAATTCAGCTAAAGGGAATGAGATTTGAGACGATAGAAGAGATTCAGGCAGAATCGCAGATGGTGCTTGACAGGCTGACAAAGAAAGATTTCCCGGGATGCTTCCAGGCTTGGCAGCGGCGCTGGGATCGTTGTGTTCACTCCCAGGGGAACTACTTCGAGGGTGATGGATGAATTTAATACCTGAGATAAGTGTACGGGTTTTTAATACGCGCAGTCTGGAAACTTTCCGATCGCACCTCGTATGTCAAAATGGCCCTGTTGTACATAATAGCTCCTATGTAGTAAGCGTTTAGGGAGTTTTTTGCCTTTTGAGGCCTGTAGCTAGAGTCGTTATTTCTTGTCGAACCCTGGCCGATGGATTAAAATGACGTTTGGTTGAAACTTAATAGTACGTTATTCAAAGTCTGAACTGGTTAAAATATTGCTAAGTTTCTTGAAAGAAAATTTGTTTCTTTTAACTGTTTGCATTTTTTCAAAAATTATTTATTTATTCCCTGAGTGATATAATGTTACTAAAATGTATGTAGGCCGCGATTTGAAATCCTTGATCTAAGTAGTCATGTGGAATGTGTGGTCATGATTGGCGTTTGCTATAGACAACTTCGTTCGAGTGTTTGCTTCTCAAATTTGGATATAAAATGCGGATTTGTGTTTTTGTTTCACATTTATTACTCTTTAAGAGTTCACAATAATTCTTTATTTGAAAGAGAAAGGAATCTTATCTTTGGAATCTGCCTACGAAGAAAATTTTTTAGATGAAAATTAAATATTCCGCATCTTCGTGGCTAGTAGTAATTACGACGTCAAGATAATTTAGTTATGCCTTTAAACTTTAGTCCGTGAAAGTACAGCGTCTTAACATTATCATATATAAATATTTTAATTATTTAAGTAGTTTTGATTTTTACAAACGTTTCTTTTGTTTGTTATTTTATACTAACGTAGAAATGTTTTAAATCCTAAAATCCGTTAGTAATTTTGATTGTCAGAAGCGTTGGAATTAGGTGCGGTGACATGTAAAATATTTTGTATTATGAGAAAATAATCATTTTAACTTTGAATAGAATTGAGTACTTACCAATGAAAGGGCCGACCATGACTGCAATTAAACCGAAAATGACAGAATAAAGTCCAAATGCAGATGGAAATCTCTCGAGATTGTATTCAGCAAATACCAGTGGTAGTGGAACCTGAATGAAACTCCTTGCAAATCCCAGAAATCCAGTCATGAGTGCCACGGCTAGGAAGTCACTGAAGAGAATTAAGACTGTAATCAGAATATAAAATGTAAATAATATCAAAAATTTATAAATCCTCGTTATATCACAGTAATTAATATAATAAACAATCTGACGTTTGAGTTAGAAATAAAACAGTATTTATATGCTGTTTAAAATCATAGTTATCACATTTATTTATTTATTTATGGTTTAATTTACACAGAATGATGATGTCATTAGTGAATTGGAAGGGATGTTTAAGGAATCGGTAGTGGTCTAATATAGGAAAATACTATACAGGAATTTACTTGAAGGTGACTGAGAAAGATCACCAAAAAGCCTGAATGAGAAAAGTTACTTTTCGGGACGAGATTTAAACCCGAGATCTCACGAATGCGGACGAAATTGGAAACTACTCGGCTTCTACGCTCAATTGTTTTTTTTAGGGTTGTTATTTTATCCCTTAAGAACTTGTAAGATGTGGTATATTTTTTTTTCTATTCTGGAAGTTATGGGTTTAAATCTCGGTCCGGAGCCCGGATATCTTGACCCAAGTTTTACGTGGTTTTACTCAGGAACTTAAATTATTATTATTCGACCATTTTCTTCCACACACTTTTTAATTAATTCCTCACAGTTATCCTCGTCCGACGTACAGTCTAGATACCGAAAACGTCGTTAAATAAACTATAAATAAAATGAAGATAAAGGTAATTTGTTTCAAATGGAAATGGGGAGAATATTTTACGAAATACTTACCAACGTGTAATGTGTATTACACACGTATACGAGTCTTAATATTTAATTAGAATTATTTTGTTTTATAAAGGTGTAATTCCTTACTTATGTTTATGATCCATTACACAGAATTTAAAACAGTATTGGAAAATAATAAGTTTTTAAATATCTGATTAAAATATTAGTACTCTGTACTTTGTACTATGCACCTTAATTAATTATCATTTAAATATAATTACTAGTTAAATCTTAAGAAGATAATGTATGGAACATTGTCGATAAAATTAGATTAGATTTTAATTAGACCAGTCCTCGTACGGTCTTCTGACGAGTTGCCCAGTTAAGTCAGTTTACTTATTTATTTTTCTTAAACCCTGTTTGTCGCAAGTTCGTTCTTAAGTCGTGATGAACTTGGGTTTGAAAAGGGTCGCCGGAATATAAATTTTGTAGCCCGTTTATGGTCTCTCGGGAGCCGAAGTTAATATTTCTGTCCCTTCCCCCATATTTTTTGTCTTTTGATGTTTCGGTCAAAGCTGTGAGGGTGTGAAATCATTTGGATGTGGCAAGTCGAAACTATTCCAGGTTGCGTTAAAAGACATGAGAACAAAAACAGGTCGTTAAACGCGAGTCAAACCTTCGTCTTACTTAAAATATGAAGACGGTAGAATTAGTTTTAGTGGGACCTAAAAAAATATTCCTTAGTTTTTTTACGATTCGCCCTCTAAGTTTTCCTTACAGTACTTCTGGATCAATCTATAGTTAAAAATTAGGGACATTTTGGGACAAGAGTGTCTTCAGTCGTGAAGTTGGTAGACAGATCGGGTTTACTCCTCATTCATTTTCAGAATCGTAACAGCCAAGTTCTCATTTACAAGATAAATCACATTTTCTACACGTATTTTCCGTGTTACTGAGTCTTACGTTATGGCATTTGGTAGGATTTTATTTTTTTATAAAAAAAGTACACACGGTGGTCTGTATGAATCAATATTAACATCATTCACAAAAAAGTGAAGGGTGAATACAGTAATTTACGAACAAGACTTTAGCTGACGTCAGCATTGATACTTGTTGAATTAGCGAATGTACTGTAAGTTTTCAAAATTTTGACCGTCGTGGTTTTCCGTCCACAAAACATACGGAGATGTATAACGAACGTAATATTACATATTATAATGTGTTCCCTAATATCGTTTTTCGCCCGGGATGTTGGCCAAATAATATTAATAATTATTATTATAATCATATTAAATACGTCTAAAATTAATACAGGCATATTTGGATGTAGTTTATTCAAACGTGTGTCTACTGTGAGAAGTATTACATAAACATTTCCACTAATGCGCATACAAATCAGTGGTCAATATAAATTGACTCTCCTGTACTCAACTTACGGAGTCGTCCAGCGACGGTCGTGAATGTTCCAACCATGAAGAGCCCTCTGCTAGTGAAGCTTGGATTTAAAATACCAATGAGTGCTATCACTAGGCGACCGACGAGATCCATAGCATTGCACACAGCGATAAATATGGCGGTGTCAGACTTGGAATATCCTAGATCAAGGACGAGTATTGGATAAAAGGCAAAGAACTGTAGCATGCAAATGAGAGAGAATGATACGCCTATTGATATGTTGACGTAGACCGGGTCCAGAAGTAGACGCAGATCCAGGAAATCGACGACGGCCATCCAACAGCGGTTACACCTGAAATTAATTTCTTATGAGGGTATTCAGGTGATGGAATGCATGTTATTGTAACAGGCAGGATACAGTTTATTCAAGAATTGTATGCAATTCGTACGCATTTTGGAAATTATTTGTTAATTCTTGACAAAGTATGGACGTGAACAGATTTTAATTACATCGTTTTTATTTAGTCTAGATATTTTATGTATCTCCTAGGTATTTTATGAATGTCAAATGAGATTTAGGTAAAGTATTAGAAGGACGAACCTAACCTAACCTAACCTAACCTAACCTAACCTCACGTCACATAAACTATACTGAGGAGAATATTGAGTACGTAATGAGAGATAATGTACAGTAATGTATAGAATATCGACGCAAATTTTGAAGAAAAACAGACAAATGAAACAGCTTTTCCGCAAAATGCTTGTAAGGTTAGGTTATCCCGTATGCGTGATATTACCTAATAAAATTGTTCTTTATCAGTCAATCCCGAACTCAAAAATCATATTATATGTGTGATGATGAAACGGCATGTTTCGGTCTTATTCGTCCATCTTCAGGTGAATAATATGAATTTTGATTAAACTATTACAGTTCTTAAAAGTTATTCGCTAATAGATAAATTAATCTGAATTGGAATTTAGAACTCTCGGTTCTTCGGACTTATTAAAAGTGAATTTAAATTAAATTAAATTGTAACGTATATATAGAGAGAAAAATCATGAGTGGTTGGCTTTAGTACATGACGTCACCCCATCCCACAGTCTCGTAAATCTGCTATAGTGTCAAGTGGAGACTCCTGGTGGCAGACATTTGAACGTGTTGCATGGCGACGTAAGTAGGAGACGAACTACAAACATCGAAACTAAACTTACAATTTATGGAGGGGTTGTTTTGAATGTATAGACAATGGAGGTCTGTTCGCTTACAGGACGTATAAAATATTCGCTGATTCACTTCTACGTGACCTGCGATCGACTACACTTTGGAGTATCCAATTATTAATTAAGCACCGTTTTATGCAGACGTATGAGGAGAGTGGGGTATACAGCGTGAGTCAAAAGTTTGTTTACAAACTTCGTGTGCGTGTTCCAAGATCAAAAATAAGAAAAAAAAAATTTCCTATGAACATGGGGCAGCAAATGTTTCATTTTCGAAATAATAGCCAAAAATAATTTTTAGTGCATAAACCACATTTGTCTTCTTGTATTCAGTGGTACATCTTCAAGGAGACGTGGCAAGTGTCTTCTTAAGAATCACCGATATGAAGGTCCTCTTAGACGCGATCGAAACATGTCGCCAAAAATTCCTGCAAAAATTTTAATTAAAAATCTTTGCTGGAAGCTGGATTCACTTTGATATAAAGTAAATTGATTGAAACTTATTTTTGGCTATTATTTCGAAAAATGAAACATTTGCGACCCCATGTTCATAGGAACATTTTTTCTAGTTTTTGTTCCTGAAACACGCACACGAAGTTTGTAAACATACTTCTGACTCACCCTGTATATCCATATATTCTTAATCTTGAAACCAGATTAGGGCTTGAAGCCCCGGTAATCTTACCCAAAAAGGGGAGAATACATGTACTCATTGGTTTGGAGGCTGGATCTAGTTCTGCCAGGAATTGAACCCAGGCCACAGGTCCCGTAGTCAAGTCACTGTTCATGACGACAATATTTAACATAAATTTGATAGGCGACTTTTAATCAGAAGTTCAGCATCATTATATTAAATTTGGATATCAAATACGTTGAGAGAGACGTGGATAAGACAAGACTGTTCCTGTTATATTATTTTTCAATACTCACCCATCTTGAGATTCGTAGCTTTCCAGACTTGTAGCATCTCTTATAGAGTCGTATCTCATTCTGTAAACTTCCTTCTGTTTACTCGTGACTGGGGTGGACATTTGGGAACTACTTTTTGGTAACCTTATCACAGAAGGCAGATCTGCCGTCTTAACCGTAATCCCGATTTCAGCAGTAACCTCCTCGACGTGTCCGTATTTTTTAGAGTGTCCACTTTGCACCAAAAATTTATGTTCTTCAGGAACACTAGTTTCTGAATCGACACAAGATTTATTTGCATTCTCTTCAAATTTATCATCTACCTTTTTATCACTTCCAGTCTCACATCGTTCCTTAATTCCATCAGCGTCTTGTAATTCGTTTACAACTCCAACAGATATTTTACCTTCAGAGCTGTCCACACACATATTTTTATTTTGAAAATGTATATTTATTAATTCTTCAGATATTGCCCTATTTCGTGTTGTATTTTTAATTTCTGAATGATGTTGGTTAATCTTTATATTAACTTCACTGTCTTTACCAGCATCTGAACTATGTTGTTGAATTCTTATATTTAATTCTTTGCCTTTCTGAAGTTCGGCGTTCCACGACGTTTCGCCATGAACAATTATATCAGAACTTGGACGTCTTATAAAATCTGAAGATAATTTAATAGATTGTCTTTTCTTCTTTTTGTGATATGTGACAGGCTGTTGAACTACCATACCAAGCATCGCGTGGAGACTGAATGCTGAAATAATAGCTTGAGTACCCCTAAAACCATATTCTTCTAACAGCATTTGTATCACCAAAGGCACCGCCATGGCTGCAACACCAATGATCATCTGAGTCATTGCCATTGCAAATGTTCTCCTTCGTACGAAGTAATAGTTAAAACTTGTGAAGGCAGCAGGTACCATAAGTCCTAAACCAATTCCTTGCAGTATTCCATATGTGAATATAATCTGATACACGTCAGTAGCAAATGCTGTAAAGAAACTCCCACAGAAATATATGACTGAACCCGTTACTCCAACTTGTCGACACGTGAAGTTGTTGAGAGCGTAGTTCATCACTAGACCTGAAATAAAATATAGAAACTATTGTAAGAAATCCTTTTCCCTCATTCGTTACTATATTTATCCCTTTCTTAAATTTATCTTATTTCCTCTTATCTCATATTTTATATATTTAAATAATTAATTCCGTTTAAAATGTTTTATATATATTATTTTGCTTTGTGTTAATATTGTTTCTGTTTTGGGTTTGCCTGTACTTAGCTGTTATATTTAATACTGTACATGTATATATTTAATTAATCTGTTTGTGTAATATTTTTCATTATTATTATTATTATTATATGTATTATCAGTGTTTGCCTCTTATTGGCAAACACTTAAATAAATTAATTGAATTGAATTTAATAAGTAAATAAAAATTTATTGGTTAAAAATGCAGGTTAAAATATGACGTTTCAGGAAAATAAAACAATGAGAAATATCAGCCGTGTTACGTAATACAAAATTTTATTTTTTTTTCCCTTTAGGTAAGCGAAAATTTTAAATATATTACCTGTTAACACAACCCATAAACATCACACGGACTTTTATACGCATGTCCCATAAGTCCAAGGCCATAGAAAAATTATCTTATCTGACAAAACTGAAGACAAATATAAAGAAAGAAGAAATTGTTCCAAATGATGTGTTTCAAGTCTTAAATGTTGGATTATTCTTACATGAGACAATCTCTACACTATTTAAATTGTCAGTATTAACATGTTACGTAGATTTTAAAACGTTGATATTAAAGCGAAAAGAAAACTGTGTGATTGACACTTATACTCGATCTCCACCCAAGTGCCTACATGGCGTATAGCGGGACAGATTTACTTTTACTTGTAAATTGTTCGATGAGGAACATAAAATGATATTTTAATTATCTTAATTGTAAATTTTAAATATGAATTGTGATTAGACGGACAAAAACCGAATAATTAATTAAATTTCACAATATGACGCAACTATATCATCTTATAAATATTAAGATAAATATGAAGATAAATATGAACGTTTAAATAGTGTTTTAATTCGTTTTCTGTTCATGGATCTCATTTGTTGTCCTTAAAGGTCCTCGAATAATGGTAAGGAAATGTAGGGGAAGCAAAGGGAAGCATTGATAGAGGGGAAGGGAATGTTTGCATCTAACACAGGCACAGATGGTAATAATAACATAGAAATATATTTTACTTTCGAGTTTTACGACATGTAAAAATATTCTTACTGAAAATAAATTGTGAGACAAGGAAATTAAAAAAAGGGTTTGTTTGTGAGGACATTGGAAACCAGAGGTCTCTGTGATAATATCTGTGAAGTATTGTACCTAGTGCTGCAGCTGAACCAATGCAGACGCTAACTCCGGTTGTCACAAAAGCCGTTCCTGCGCCAACATCCACCAGAAAGTCCCCAAATATCAGACCGAAGCAGCTATCTGGTGTTAACGTTACAATCTGAAAATAATATTAGCCTTTCAGAGTTGAAATATTAACAGACCCTCGTTTCATTTTTATGACCACGAAGTTTGGCCCATAAACGGCCTGTTTCAACCTGGTTAATAGTTTCTTGACCATTTGAAGCCGAAGCTCGTCTAAATATTTAATTCAGTCCGTACCACAAAGAAAACAAATATCAAGTGGTTGATGATGTTTAAGGAAATGATCGATGTTTATTATAAATAACACAAAACAATAGATACAAGATGAAATGTTGTTGACTGTTTAAGCAGGTGGTACGTATAGTTACCATAGGGTTTTAAATTGTTGTTTTACATATCTTTCGACAAGTCTGTAGTGATGGCTGTATAGAGTTTTTCGTCAGTCTGTCGAAATATAACCAGTCTTGTGAAATATAATTTATTCTGTGCTGTAATAATATGTACAATAATAATATGTAATAACATGTTTTATGAATTCCATCTCTGATGTATAGTCTTTTTTTTTTGCCTTGTTTTATTTTCCACATTTTACAGTCATATAAAATTATGGGATGACTAAAATATATAATTTAAATCGAGATTATTTTTTGACTGTATTTGGGTTCATAACACTACAGAATATTGTCAGATACTCAAAATATTCATAAAGATTTTCTTTTGACCATTGCTGAATTAAACTAATTTTAAGTAGGTTTACCACCGAGAACTGCGATGTTCAACATCGTTAAGTTATATATATATATATAAGGTGGATTGGATTCATCTGGCTTCGGATAGAAAGTTATTGTTTTGATATTTAAAAATTTAGGACGTGTGCTTTAAAACTTTTAATACCTGTGACACTACAGATGATTGATTACAGATTTAAATGGATGCAAGAACGTTTATCTGCCTAATTTTTTTCGCTAGATGATAAATTATCGTTAATTGTAAGATATTGTGATTTTTAGTCAATTATTATTGACAGCACGAAAACATGCTTACGTGTGTTAGACTCTATCTCAGGATAGAATCCAGTGGCAGGCTTTTGTGCACACGGTGATGGACCTTTGGGTTTAATTAAGAAGGTAGGCTGTTCTTTGATACAAGACGACTGCACAGTCGACTTTTTAAAGAATTTCTTACGCTACAGAGAGTGAGTGAGTTGGTACACGTTACAGAGAACATATGAGGATGTTATGTGTTCTCCTGTTCTGAATAAGGTTTTGTGACAATGCGGATTAAATATTTTGATAAATATTTTTCGAAGAAAATAAATAATACCGATGAATGATATTGGTAACTTAAGTACGTTGTATTTAAAATATAAGTAAGGTACTGATGTACTTAATGTGTTAATTGAAGGTTATATGCTGTACAGGATTTAAATTAGTGAGATTGCATATTACATTGTATGAATTTTATTTTATTATTTAGTGTTCTGTCTGAGGACAGGTCCATATGAACAGGATCCTCCCATCCTTTTCTCGTACTGGGACCTGTTCATATACGTTCTTGGCAGATGATCCAGAAGTGGTTTGCCATTGCCTTCTTCTGTGTGTGAATGGAGTAATTGTTGGGATGCCACGGAGGAAAACTCCGTGTTGCCTAGACCACGGCCTTGCCCGACACAAGTTATAAATTCGGGCACCCCGAGAATCGAACCCGAGACCCCAGGATTACAAGGCCAGCGTTCTAACCGCTAGAAAATTATGACGATTTCAATTTATCTCACGTATCTCCGTTGTGTGTCAAACAACGTCATATGTAGAAGTAGATCATAAAGTTTTATAATTATGGTACATTATTTAGTCACTTCCGCTTTATATTTTATAGGTTTCTGGTTTAAATCTCGACCCAGAGACCACCTTATATTTCAGACCCTTTACAATGCAGGAAAGTTATATGCAGTTTAATTAGTTTGGTAATATTGGGTTTATATATCCGTATTAAGCAAATATCAAGGCCGATGGCTTATGCAGAACAGAGAATACATTTGGAAAGTCACACTGTACGTGTCGACAAAGTAACATCATGTATCATTGAAGGTTTTAATTTTCAACACGTGTCATCAGTTTTATTTTTATATAAATAAAACTTATAAGCATTAGGTTGGCTAACTGTAAAGACGAATGCGACATTTAATTTTTTAAGACGTATAATTATATATTTTAATATTTTCCGTCAAATGACAATTTTAATAAGATAATAAAATATAAAATATTTAAAATATCATTTCACGTTCCGCATCGAATGATCGATTTACAAATTGACAATATGACGCAAATATACTACCTTACGTATAATTATTCCATATTTTCGATGAGTCTTGTATTTTATCAGGTTTAAACATTTGTAAATTAATTATAACTGTTTCACACTTGATTTTGGGTTCACGACTGCTTAACTGAGAGTCAATTGGAGTTATTTTGTTTAAAAACGGAGATAAATTATGATCATTTGTAACGTTTATGAGATTTGTGCTCTTGGAAGCAAGGATAGGAGTTTTGTTTAGATTAATTTTCTCAGTTTGTTTAGACTACTGATGCTGGAGACCTCTAAAGAATAGCAAATACATGTTTTCTGCTGACTCTTATTTCGTTATCTTATCTGTTACGCGTGATTGGAAATAAATGACAGTTGCGCTGAAGATAAAAACACGCTGTAACCAAGGGGGAAATTTAATCACTGTAGTTATCAGAACATGTTACATTTGCCATAACCGAAAGTTAACACGAAAATAAAATGCATTTCAGACAGTTTCCTTAAAAATAAAATATGAATCTCTTCATCTGACTCATGAAATATAGTGGTGGATATTTGTTAACGTTCAAGTCCAGTAAAGGCATGACATTTTTTGACAAGCTCAGTATAGACCGTTTAAATAATCTTAATGATCATATCGAGTTAGTTATTTTGCAGAATGATTTAAAACATTACGTAAGAATAAAAAGTTCTTTGGATATTTTACATCGTCTAATACATTAATAAAATAGAAACGACGTTTCGGAGATGGGGCTCTTATCACCGTCTTCAGGTACCTACTCTGTTGGGTCTAATAGATAGAGCTAATCCCTATCTCCGGACTATTTCATTATTTTACAAGACGATTGAAAATTTACAAATGAACTTTTTATTTAAATAACTCACCAATCGTCACGAACTTTTAGATTTGATATTACGTAAGAAATTCACAATTTTTATATTCGTAATATTTCACTTTTAAGTGCAGATATCTCCTTGACAAGCGAAATGTATGCTCAGGTATTGAAAAAATTCACCAGTTTTCATGACACCCGAAGGTGTTCAGTCTCTATCCTTAGCCAGATTAATCCGATCTATGCTTTCCAAACCTCTATCCCAAACATCCATTTTAATATTATTTTAATCTACACTCACGTCTTCCGAGTGGTCCCTTTACTTCAGGTTCTACAATCGTTTTCATACGCTTTCCTCTCCTGTCTTATCCTCCCTGATACTTGAAGAGTGAAAATTATGAAGCGGTCCTCCAGTTGGAGACTGGGCGGTGGAATAATAACTTACCACCGTAAAAAAACTAACATGTTACTAATATTTTAAACACACACATAAAACAGGACCACCGTCGTAGTTTTATTAAGACCGCAGAGTCTATAGGTAGGATATTATCGAGTTTAAACAGCGAAGTTTTAAACAGAAATGTTAGGTATATTTAGCTATATAACATATCATCACATACCAACAACTCTGGTTCATAAATTAATTTATTCGTTATAAGAATATTTTTTTTTATCTGATACAAATTCACAAGAAACACTTCAATAAACTTCTGATTTGTAAGAAACTGTGTATTTGTAGGTAGATTGAAAAGTTTTGGATGAATAATGTGTCCATCTTCAGGGCTGAAGTTGAGATAATATTTTATTCTTAAACCATTGGTATCTACCTACAAGTCGACAGGATATTTCGACTCAGAAGACCAAATAACATCGACATTTTTTACTATCGATATCTTTACTATATCCTAAACCTGAGATCTAAGGCAATATAAAGTATTACAATGATTAAAACTGAGTTTATGTTAGGTTATGATGATTTAAGAGCTCGGTTTTGTTGTTTGATTATTGGAGTAATAAAATATTAATACTTACAAATAATGCAGCGACTCCTATAGCCACAATCCAACCCCATCCACCATCTGGGGCTTCAAATTCTTGAGAATCTACGCCATTTTGTTTATTTAAACTTGGTAATCCCATTATCGACTGTCGATTTACAATATAACTCCGAGTGAAGTCATAACGTTACAGCCAATACGTAATAAAGTTGTTATAAAGTAATAAAATGGTAAAAATATGACGAAGAAAGTTGTACAGACTTAATTGAACAGGAAAATGGTAAGTACTGCCGAGCGCAGTGAGGAAAACCTTTACCTTTTTTCCACCTTATCATCATCAAGAGATATGACAAACTTGTTTCATACGACAACGACGTAAGAACCATCGACTAGTCTGAATGTAGTTATCGATACTTATCGCACGTTTCGTATACACGCTTCATTAAGGGAACATGCATTATGATTGTTCATAATGAGTGAATGTTTATGTATTATTGTGAATATGTTACGTATGTTATGAGATAGTCTGTTTAAAATGGAGGAATGTTTATATATATCTGCTGATTAAAACATTTTAGACCATACAATTGTCAATTAAATTTATGCCTGTTAATTCACTCATGCACTCACGTAATAAAAGTATTTATTTACATTTGCTGGCACTTATCTCGGTTCTGTTATATTTTAAGTAATTAAGACCTTAAATTAAGTACATCCTCAAATGGAAGACGTCAGTGTCGCAATGAGGAATAAAGTTCCTGAGTCATTGTGAACTTTTATTAAATTTCATGTTTCGTATTTGATAATAAAACAGTGCAGTATTTGGGAATTTTTCTTCGTTTTTGGGGAGGTCAGAAGTTTCAATTTGATGTTTTAATAATTTCTTTTAAAGTACAGTGGTTCACTAGAATATTGAGCTGGCGTCTTCGTAAATAAATATTAATTTTTCATCTTAGTTATCCACTGTTTCTGGCATCGAAGCCAATGGTTATTGCTCTATTTTGCTTCGTAGTGTCGTAAAATTCCCATTTCTCGTGTTGACTTAAACACCTCTTCCAGGATAGCGTGATAATTTGGCGTCTTTATATGATTTCTGATTTTCTTATTTGATAATCTATTCTTTCTCGTAAATCGTGTTAAGTGTCTGATAAAATGTCGCATGGGAAGCTTCTAATCGTCTCTCGTCTCTCTTCTTGCAATATTCTAGTGCAGATTTACATGTAATATGCAATCTGAGCAAAGCCGTCTATATTTATCTTGTTCATTAAATGTATTTTTGTGACTCCGTTAAGTTTAATTTATTTATATAATCTTCTTTCCAGATTATCATTTAATTTGTCAAGATTTTTGATTCCCCTGATGAGTAAAGTAAGAAACTAGTTCTATTATCTTATTATTTATCACGATTTTAAATATTTTCTTGTATTTTTCGTTACATTTTTATTACCATAAATAAGTAAGCAAATAAATTATCATATTTTTAATTAATATTTTTGTTTCGGAGATGAACAAAGATCTCTGAAAATAATATCGTACAGTTGTCTGATAAAGATGTAGGGAGATATGGCATATACTGCGAATTTACACGCCGTAATACCGGAATAAACGTTTCAATTTAACCTTTATTGAACACCAGTGTGGATATTGGAACATGTCGAACGCAGTATCACGCTAAACATTTTTGTTGGTAACACTGCAAAGACCAGTTCAACGAAATAGTATGTATGGCAGAATGTAACCTACCTTCATGAACAATACGAGTTATAAATATGGAGTTAAATGAAACAACGAAGTTCATAAATACATTTTTAATTGTCCTATCTTCCATATTCTTAAGATGTACTGTATTTTTTTTTTTAAGATAACAATTAACTTTATATATATATATATATATATATATATATAAATAAGCATGGAAAGTAGAATATATCAATTATACAAACAAAACATAAAATATATAAAATATATTTACTTGCTATGGAAACATTTTGTGATGTAGAAGGTTAGGTGAACGGTACATTTCTGTTTGGGACGTTCCTTATTCGAATCCCGGCCAGACCACTGTCTTTCTTGACTGGAATTTTCGTGGATTTCCTAAACCCATCCAGGCGAAATATGTAATAATATTAGCATTAAAAAAATCGACTCTCTAACACTGTTGAAGGAAATAATCCCTGTTTACACTGTAAACCAAACGTAAGGCCTTACCTATTCACCTTACATAAGCTTCTGTCATTTGACGCTTTATAACGTCTATAATTTGATCGAGAAAAATCTACTATTCGACCTTTGTAAACCAACATTATTATCCTTCGCGTGTCTAGCTATTTGCTACGTAATAAACCTGGTTTAATACCGTCTGTGCCTTTCTGGGGTCTGTATACTTTTATGTCATGGCTAACTGCTCACAATGACTGCTAGTCTTGGGGCAGAAATTTGTTACAAGTTATTCCAAGGATTTCTGCTTAGGTTTTACTACTACAAGTCAAATATATCAGAAGCTGTTGCTGAGTTACATTTCTGTCTACAAATTAAGATCTGTTAACTTTATAATTAATGCCTTAAATTCGAATGTAAGGTTAGATCACGCGATGTCAGACAGAATTTATAACTTGTGTTGGGCAAGGCCGTGGTCTAGGCAACACGGAGTTTCCCTCCGTGGCATCCCAACAATTACTCCATTCACACACAGAAGAAGGCAATGGCAAACCACTTCTGGATCATCTGCCAAGAACGTATATGAACAGGTCCCAGTCCGAGAAAAGGATGGAAGGATCCTGTTCATATGGACCTGTCGTCAGACAGAACACTAAATAATAAAAATAAAACTAATAGTAGCTACTCTTGTACATTGTAAACGTTTAATTCAATACTTTAATAGTGATTGAAAGGGTTAAATAGGTAAGAACTATTATAAAAAGTAATTCTGTTCTAATTTTATGATTGTTCATTATTCTAAAATATCTGGGGAAAACAGATATTTTTCTGGGAGTCTGGAACCAGCCAGAATATTTAATATATTTTATTATTTAGTATAAAATCTATGTTACGGCCTAATGTGCGTCCATTATTTACCACTTCGAAGATTTGAGTTGGAAATTCGAATTCTGAATAGGTATATAGACTTATCTGCGTTTTTCTGTGTCATACGTGATATTAATGAGTCCTATAAAATATGTAAAGAATAAATTATTTCAAAATGAAGTCTGAATCGGAACAGAACACATGAAGTTATTCATGAAAAAAAAGTAGCAGGAACTATGTGATTAAAACTGTACGTAAAGTAAAAAAATTTGTAAATCGAAATAAAATTCCCATTAATTTTAGCTGCGCGAATATTAATTCCTTTTAAAAAAAGGACGTTATGTGAGTGTCTGTACCCAGTTTACGTATCGTGTTTTGTCACAGTTATGACAGATGGCAGCACTGAGTAGAAGCATGTGTGAGAATAACATCGAGATCGTGGTCGATAGACTTTCGATAATAATCGAGAGATGCAGAAACAATGAAAACACGCCATGCGAAATGAACCCCAGTCATTCGTGTGGACAAGCTGCTCTCTGCTGCAAAAATTGAAATCATGCCACAGATAATTGGCGTCATTATTTTGGTCTGACATACATCTTTGTGGGTTTTCATCGACGTAAATGGTGGACATATCGAATGTAATGGTACACGTTATTGTTTATATATAATTACATTGAAAGACGAATGTATGTAATAAATGGGAAATAATGCAGAAGTTGGCTGCCCTGGCCTATATTGAGATATTGTTACACAAGTTTTCTGGTTGAAGTGAGGAAAGCCATGAGAAAATGCAGTAACTCTGACATGAGATTTGAAATATGGACTGTTCAGGTAGGAAGGAACGTATTATGTGTTTAATGATGAATACCACACTGAGTTTGTATGCCTATTTCGAGAACTGAACTACATCTGTAGCTGTGAACTTTCTTTTGTTTTTGATGGGCGTCGAATACGTGAGATAATAAACTCCAGAGTCCAAGGACATATACAAAGAACAATTTGTAAAATGTTAAGTGTGTTGATGCAAATGGCGTAGCTGTTCGTTGCATCTCGAACCCATCCTGAAATGAAGAAAAGGAAAAGGAAACATGAACACAGCATCTAATTAATGGTGAAAAGTTTTGTAGGATTTGAGGTATTCACGGCGGATGCCTGTCTTCTGGGTTATTGGGTCGTGTAGTATGGTAAAAGTTTACCGACGTTACAGAGGTCCTTGCTGCCTCCATCGTCAGGTCGATGACTTATCTACCAGACTACACGGCGCTACAATCCAGAAGACAGCTATCTTCAAATGTTGTTTTCTTTGCGGTACGGACTGGATTCTTAAATGTTATTTAGACAAACTTCGAATTTAAGACTTAAAGATGTTGAGCTCTGTTGTAATTTGTGAAGGACTTAGGCAGTTACGAACTTATATAGTCAAATTAAACTAACAATAAAACGGAATAAGATATGAAATAAAACAGAAGGTGTATTGTAAGAATCTTCGTGTGTGTTCCTTCATCGTTTCGTATTTTCCGTGTTTCTTTCTATCTTTGTTCTGTGTCTGTTTACCTTCTTTTTGATTCTTCCTTCGTACATAACTAACTAACCAGATGGCTTACCGAACCCGAATGTTCATCACCGAATTAACCAAAGCCCTCCACCGGTCCCTGTCCTGGGCCAACAAAATCCAGTCTCCTTCAACTCCTATCTCCCATAGATCCCGCCTGAGATTATCCTCCCATCTACGTCTAGGTCTCCCCAGAGGTCTCTTCCCCTCAGGCTTCCCAACCAATACCCGGTGCACACCTCTTGTCCCATCCATGCGCGCTACATGCCCAGCCCATCTCATTCTTCTCGACTCAATCACCCTGACAATATTGGGGGAGGAGTACAGATTTTTAAGCTCATCATTATGCAGTTTTCTCTATGCAACCAAAGCCCT